TTAGCAAGTTTTGACCTGCATACCTAAATTTCTGATTTCTTTAAAACATAAATGTGACTGAAAGAACTTTCATAAACTATGAACTTTTGTCAATTTAAATAAATCAAGGGTTCTTTTATTTAATTTGCAATTATTTCAAATCGTAAGCGTAGTGTTCCACAGTGGGCTGATCGTAAACAAACGGTTTTCAGTTGAACACTAAAGTCATGCATCACTGGCTGCGATCATTCAGGGGATGGGTGACCATTTAAAACAACCTGTGTATGGTCCTAGGGTACTGTCCACGTTAAACTGTTCTACCGTAAAGTGCTTGACATAGTAATTTGTCGGGTTTAATCTGCGTAATTTGTCGGGTTACCAAAGTGAAGGAGCCATCCCATCAACAAAGGATTTCAAAATTGTGATGGCATGTCTTCGGACCATCCTCAGGGATGTTTCCCAGACAGTTGCTGCTAGTCCATTATACAGCTCTAGTGCAACGCAATTAAAGTACCTACCTACCTAACCATCGTAATAAAGGTTATTACTATAATTAATTCTAAAAACTTATTTTTATAAATACTATCCGATATTGACTTTTTATGTATTTTAACAAATAATCAAAAAACTTTTGAAGTTGATACCGAATTTGAAACAGAATTCATTTTAGTTCACAATCGGTATTAAGAATGGAACCAAAAGTTATCGTTAACTTCTACACCTTGGAACTTTCTTTCCCTTTCGAAAAATTCAAAAATGACCAGATAATGCCATTATCAACTGAGATCTCCCAAATTTAATGACATGGCTAATAAAATAAATGTTGTATTCATAAATAAACTTATAAAAAGATCTTTCCCCGGGAAATCTCACCAGTTTCAAAAATGCCATTTAAATCTTCTTCCACTAATTTCTTCACTGTAAAATTAAAAATAAAAAAACAAAAACTCCATATCTAACTCTAACATCTAAAATCTATATCTTTTTTGAAAATTATAAATAGTTTTTTTTATGTTAAAAATAAACGTATCATTAAGGATAAGATATTCTAATCAACCATATGTAACTAGCCTATTTCTCTTAGTAACAAAATAAATCAGAGCTACCTGCTGCTTAGTACGTGCTCATAAAATAACGAATTTAGAATTAAAATATCCCACTTCATTCTTTAATGATTATACACTTAAAATTTAATTAGATAAAATGAGTAACGCACATTTACCGCAAAAATTTCAAGTCTCTAGCCAACCGCATGCACTGATACGAAACTCATAGATGCTCTTATTGAAAAAATTACCGCAAATCAGTGTGAGACTTTAAATGTCCATTCCCTTCTTAATGAAATCAGAACTGGGATACGAACCTCACCCACGATCTCTATTTCTGTGATAATTTCTTGCCAACGTGTTCCACACGTCATTGGCGGTTTCGTGGCAAAAGGTTTTGTTGTTTCTTTCAGATAGCAGGCAAACTTAAGACAAATGTTGCATTTTTATTTCAATTTGGTTGGCACAGAAATATGTACTAATAATTTTAAAAATTAATAATCACTTTTTAAATTTTATGGATTATAACGAGTTTGTCTCTTTAAAAAACTAAATAAAGGTATGCAAAACACTTCTCAAAAAAGTCTCATTTTTAAGCTTTTACTGTAAACCTTTTTCTCATTCTACCTTCGTCCAAGCTCTAAAGTGCAACATTTTGTTGGAGTTTGAATCATAATGATCAGGCCAACCTTTACTTTTGAAGTGCTAACAATCTATATATAAAAGCCAGCACATATAAACCTTTTTGCGGTGACGGTCATAAAATATAAACTGAACCCTGAGAAGGTGAAGTTATCCTCGGATTAAGAACGTTTTCTGCTCTTGCTTTGCAAACGAGGATTCATTCTCTATTTCAGAAAATTTTTCTAATCTTGTTTTGTAAAGGCAGATTCAATCTGATATAAAAAAGTTGTTTATACAAATTTAATGATTACCTCATAGCACTTAAACTAGCATAGTTAAATGTAACATAATTTCAAGCTCGAAGGATTTATTTACCAATCATTTATAAACTTTGTTAGTCTTTGAGATAAAGGTTGTTTCTGAAATAAAATCAAACTTACACAGCTATCTGGGATGTCATGCATGGTACGTCTTTCCTGCTCAAATGGTCAAAATAAACTTTAATTACAAAAGTTCAGTTAATATCAAAGACGCATAAAAGGTTATGAAAGTTCCGATTTTTCGTACAAAATAAATTTAAGTATGACAAATCTAATTTATCAAATGTAATGAATCAAAAAATTACACTAGTTCAGATTATAGAATTACATTAACGAACGAATAATTCAAAATAGTTCAAACTATAGAAATGTATTAAATACACATGATATTGACATTAAAACAGAGTGAAATGTGAAAAAGTGGTAATATTTGAGTCCATTAAATAACGGTGATATTTCAGACCTTAATTCCGAATAATAAACTGCTTACGAAAGAAAATCCTATTTTGTCAAAATCTTAAATGGAATATTTTTGATGAAGTATTTCTGATCAATTGCAAAAACAAGTGCCATTGATGCACATTGAAAATCTGAAATTCAATGAAAACATAAGTTTATTATTTTATTTTATTATTCCGTATTTATTCACTTACATTTGTTAGATGAATTAATCATTCATGCCCATAACATGATTCGAAAATATGAGTAACCAAACTCTTTTAATTAAGATTCGTTCGCTAATAATCCTAATTGTTCCCTAACATAAAAAACTTTTCATCGATAATATAAATTAATAATATCTGCTCGGTCAAAGTCATATGTCGGTAAACGCCCATTTCTATCAAAAAGACGAAGGCACCTTGAAAAATTCCTTGACTCTCCGAGATCAGTTTTCAAAGATTCGTGTGAATTCATAAAGAAAGGGTAACAGCCGAGTCCTTCATCTACAACACACCTGAGGAAATCTAGTCAATTAGTATGAGCTGACGTGTTTTCAAATGGCGAATCCTTCTCAAGGATTGACTTGAATCCATCGACTTTCACTGCTCAAAACGAGTTTTCCGGAAGTTGATTTATTCTTATTTTTTGTCATGTATTTTCGGTGAAGACCGCACAAAATTACCTTCATGAATTCTAACACTTTCTTCTCCTTCGATCGAATTTCTTAACATTTTTATTTTTGTTACCATATGCATTTTGCTCCAATATATGCATAGCGCTGCCTTCAATTTATATATTATTCTAAAAATTTGACTGATCATTTCACTACCATTTCATTTTGCCTGATTTTAGATCAGCTCCAATTTCTGCAAAACATTCCATACGGAAAAATAAAATTTGGAAAAATTCTGGAAAAAAATATATATAATTCTAGTAATAAAAAACAAAACATACTTCATTTAAATCTTAAACCATTCATTTGGTAATTTTCCGTTCATATGGCAACTGTTTACCGGAAATTCTGGTATTTGAAATTATAGTTCTTTCTACCACTCACTTTGTAAAAAATTCAAAACTCAAAGATAAATTTAGCCGAACTAATGGTTTTTATACCATAGTCTAAGTTATCATGATGAAATTACCAAGTCTTATCACAGATTATAAAATCATATTTCATTGATAATTTTACTAAAATATTTACCGAATTGCTTGGGTAAGAACTACCGAGCTTTGTGATCCATGTTTTTTTTTTCAGTGAGTGAAAGTGACATAAAAACTAAAACTTATAGAATTATGGTTAATTTTTCTATCACTTTAGAGACATACCATGAGATAAGTGCCCAATTAATATGAAATTTTGGATAATTTATATGTAGTCAAAGGTTAGATGGCATTGAATGAAATTTATTACATGAAGAATCATATATTAATTTATGTATTTTGCTGCAACTAGAAAGAATGCACCGATAAAATGGAATAAATTTGTATTTCTGTTTTCCTGCACAGGAAACTTCGGTTGAAAATTTTTGTCAGTCAGCACTTATCAGTCAGCAATCATAGGTAATTCAACTAAATAGAAAGGTATGATATACAATGCACAGGGAAAAATGAATCGCCATGAATAACTTTTAATCTAATAATACGTACTAGTACTAAAAATCGTGAAAAGCTCATAAAAATTGAAAACTCTTACGTACAATGATCCAAAGCGAAGCTGACAAAGAAAGAATAACTTTTGATTTAATGATCAGATTGTCACATTCTAAGACTCAATCTTAATGGCTCTAGGGTGTGACCTCAAATAAGCTAATAAAATTTGTGCACACTTTATTTTAAGTTTTGAAATCAGACACAAAAACTTACTTTCTCTGAATATCCATACTTTTTTCCCGGTGGATTTGAATTTCTTACCCTCTAAATGTAAAGAGGTAACCACAATTTTGGAAAATATGATCCTGATAGTTTGATCAAGAGAGCAGTACACAGTTTAGATATCTTAACATTTTTACTTTTTGTTTATTTCGCTATATCTCGAGAACCTTTTGAGCGCACAATTATAAAATTCGTTTATCCAAAGATAATTCCATGCAAAAAAAATTTATAAATAATCCTCATTTATTATTTTTTATAAATTTATTTAATATTAGCAGAAATAATTTTCGATTGTAAGGTACACAAATTTTTGCTTCATTTCAAAAAAAGATAATTTTGTATGATAAATATTTTTTCTTTTTTGCGGGGATGACGCAGGATTTTTGAATAACCGATTTTTTTNTTTTTTTGTGAGAAATTCTTAGGATAGGCGAATTTTATGATCGAGGGCAAAACGTTTAGCTTGAAAAATTCTCTGGTTACGGTGAAATGCGCGAAAAGGTCTGCGTGAACTAATTAGCCTTTTTAAGTTCTCCTCTTCAAATCATTAAGATTGAGTCCTAGCGTATGAAAATCCATTCATTCGATCAGAAGTACAAAGTTAAAAATATTGATTATACATATGATAGTTAACATACTGTTGACTAGAAACTTTTTTTGATAAGAAACTTTTTTTGATAATATATAATTTTTCATATTACTGTTTTTATTGTTTTAGTTTTTACGAAATCTGGTGAAAATAGCTCCAAGAGCAGATGTAGCTGAGCTTCGACTTGGTGTCTGCATTCCATCTGTCTGTGATACGAAAGATCTGCAAACCATTGTAAATGAAAGTAAGACTTCATAGATTTGATCCATAATTAAAAGTAAAAGAAGTAACTAAAATATTCATACTATACAATTTGTTTCACATTCACCACTTTTAATATATATTTTACATTAGTCAAAAATAAAGTAAACAAATATATACATTAGGGGCACTTAAAATAATGTATCAGTGGAGAAATTCAAACCATTATTAAAATATGAAGAATATTTTTTGTAGAAGGCGAAAGTAAAAATAACAAATAGTAATTGCTGTCGGTTGATTTTTGAAAATGCTCCTTAAAACCATCTTTCAAATTTTTTTAGGACAATCAAATAGAGTCTGGTGTTATTAATTTCGCATTCCTAGTTTTAAATTCTTCAAGTACTAGTAATATTTTTTCTGCATTGCTAAGTTATTAATTTATGCCCCTCAGCATGTACATATTTCGTACATATTTTATACATGTATACATTTTATGCAATATTTCGATATTTTTTATATTGTATTTTAAAAATAAATACCAAGGGGGAAATAATAAGACACCCTTAATATTCAGACTTATTCCCTTGAAGAAATTAGTGGAGAACAATATTCTGTATAAGTTATTCAATACTAATCAGAAATTTTGCATTTGTATATTAAGAAATATGTATGAATACATTTTTGGTTAAAAGTGCCCGATGCAAAATACTCGAGCATTTATATTCAAACATTTCTGAAAAGAAGAGTTTCTTAGTTTTTTTTTTCCTTGAAACTTCTTCTCATATGAAAAGTTTGAACGTGACCTTTGTATTTAGATCACTTTTTTATATAAATTATATGTGACCTTTGTATGTAAGTTATAATTACAGCTCTATTAATCGTAAAAAAATAATTATAGTTTTATTCATTCTCAAATGACGGAAAAATCAAATAATATCATTAATAAACAAAAAAAAGACTTTGGGTGACATCAGCATAAAATTAAAAGAATCTGTAACAAGCATTTACCTATAAAATATTTATTCATCATTCGTTTAGCAGTATTTACCAGTAATATTTATTTATTCACCCTTCTCAATGCTATTCTCTCTTATTATTTTTATTTTTAGTATGTTTCAAAACTACAGGTTTTTAACTAAAAGTAGTAATCTTCTAGTTTGTTATAAAGTCATCTTACTGTATTGCTGTATGACACTTTAGGATAAGCACATATAGTTACCGTTACACAGTTTTCAAACACTAAATAAGTTATATTTACCTTGTTAATAAGTTACATTTTATATGATAAAGTTTATATGAAACAGCATTCGGTCAAGGTTTGCAATAAAAATAATGAATACAAAATAACTATTTAAAATTATAAAGCAATATTTAGAAATAACATTCTGCACAACTGCTAAATAATCTCTTTTGCAAAAAACGCTTAATTTTGATAGTAGTAAACTAAAAATGAATTTGGAATTTAAGATACATGTACGGGGATGAATTTACAAGGGAAACCAAGCGAAATCTCTATGTTTAAATTTTTTCCCAATATTATCAAAAAATAAAAGTTTGGAAACAAATTTATGTTAATACAATAAAAAATTTTGGAATCTTTCAAACAAATTTTATCTCAAGCAAATAAACTTGAGATAAAATTTTGCTTAAACATCGGTAATGCATTAAATAAATTCAAGAAATCATGACGATTGAAAAGCAAAACAAGCAAGGATTGGATCCCGTAGTTGGGTTATAAATATATATAAAGATAAAGTATTATGTATTGAGATTATATGCTTGTGAAAACGCTTATGAATTTTTATTTCTCATTAGTTTTCATACAAAAACTTTCCGTACTTAAATTTGCTTTACAAAGCATATTAAAGAAATTAAATTTCTTAAGGATTTCTGTATAGGAACTGATCAGGTCTGTTACCAGAAATAGGATTAGATAAAGAGATATGCTGGAGGCCTTATGTGTCCGAAAGCACGATAAGGACAAGTAAAGGACTCCTCATATTTTAAACTAAGGGTTGTGAGGCACACGAAAAAAGTTTAGAAGCCCTAGAGAGAGACAGAGAGAGAGAGAGAGAGAGAGAGAGCTTCTCAATCGCCATGATTTCTTCCCTACTGCGCATTTTTTGTTTCTTACGTTGGACTACTAAAGTGGTCTGTGTGAAGGCCTTCTCTATTCTCGGAGGTATTGAGTCAAACTCCTTACCAGCCTTTTTTTTTCTTTGATCATTTCTTCACACTTTCTAACTCTGATGACTGTTCTACTCCATTATGCGGGTGCAAAACAATTGTTATAAAATTATTTATTTTTATTATATGAACTTAAGTCAAACTAAATTTTATGATAAACCGGGGATAATTGACTAAGCCAAAAAATTCTTTTAATTTTGAATACCAAAGCTTATTGATTTATTTCGCTCTAAACAATATAAAAAATTTTATGCCGTCATGCTTTTAATTTATATTCATAGCACTCAAACCTTTTAAGGAAGTAATAGATTTAGGAATATCAAAAAATCTTACCCTTTTTACCAATGATCACGTGTTTATTCACATGGTGAAGATTACGTAACAATACTAAGGCATAATTATAATTCAAGGCACGATTCTCTGCTTACAATTGACGCAAATTCTTAGGTACGATGGAGAAAAAATACATGTTATACGGAATATAAAGTAACTGGCGAATTCTTTCCGAATGTAAAATTCATATAGTAACAATAAAATTTCTCTGCATCGGTGCTCAGTTTCGATTGTATACAGCGTCAGTGAAAAAGCATGAAGCTTTGAATAATGTATACTAAACTGAAAAAGTTTAAATCGACTTTTCGGCGTTAGGCTTTTTCCAAGCATTTTCAATCAACAAACATCTTCTGCAGTGAAAGTTGGAAACACTATTAAATCGCCCACAGACATAATGTAAATTAGTGATAAATTTCCATCCAGTTACCTAACCTCCGTCAGTTGCAATGCGTGAATTAATTATTTACATTAGTAAGTCATATTTCTAATCGAAATTAACTTCTCTGATTTAAAATCAGCTTTTTTTCAGTAAATAAATAAGAATTCGTGTGTTGTTTTCTATCGATGAAATTTTCCAATTTTTAGTAAATCTCGTTTGTTTTTTCTTTAGTACCTATTTTTGAATGAGTTTACGTTATTTCCATAGTTCTTAAAATTTGATGAATAAAATTTTTTTAGATTATATAAAAGTCTAAGAAAAATAACTATGTTTGCTTAATGTTGTCGTAATTTTTAAAAGAAATCCTGAAGGCACAGATGTACTTTTCACTTATTTTTATCAGTATAGATAACGAGGGTCATTTTTTTCATTAGCGTATAATTTACACAAAATATATTATGAATATCCGTAATGCAATAATATCACAAACGCATAAGTTCCTTTAAATTGCAAAATAGCCACCATTGAAGATGAGTTTCCGCTTTGCAAAATACTTCTAGTGTTGCCAACGGACCCTACAAAATACTGCTCAATTTAAAGAACCACATAAGAGAAATATATTTACATACCATGTATTTAGAATTACGTATTTTATAAATTGGGTTTTATTAATATTAATTAGTATTAGGAATTTGACAAAGAGGAAAAGCAAAAATGGCAAAGAATTTGAGATTATGCCTTCATGTTTAAGATGGCATTATGCATAGGTTTATTTAAAAGTTTCCTGGAAAGCATGAATGCATATTTTAGCTTTAGAGATAGTTTTCTTAATGCTGGTTCAAACTACAATTGCATAGTTTGCAAAGTATTCCGTATTCATTTGGTTTAAAAATTATTACATCCTCATAAGACGTTAATTTCGATAACTGAATATTTTATCAGGTAGTTTGACATTCACTACAGTGCTTATCAAATGGAGCGAAATGAAAATATAATTTTTTTCATAACAACTGTGCTTTCATTCGTTCTAGGCCTAAATATACAATCATAAATGCAGTATATCTTCATCTCATAGAAATGAACTCTTCAATACGCTTTGGCATAGACTCTGTAGATATTAGAGTGCGTATTCTTGACTTTAATCATCATGATCAAAGCTTTTTTTAAATTTATAACATTATTATAATATGTTATAATAATAATATAATTACAATGTATAATTATAATATATAATAATAACACTGTATATAGTTATACTATATAACATTGTTTACAGTGCTACTATCATACAATTCATGCTACCTGTCTGACTCCACAAAATAGTTCAGAAGTTCTCATTTATAAATTTTGACTAGAGGCCAAGACGCATAGAAAATTCTTCGTTTTTTTTTTCATTTTTATACCGTCGTTGAGCAGTCGACACATTTTTTGAGTTTATGACTACTAATGTTCAACTCCGTACATTTGTAATTTCGGGCCCTATTCAGAAGACAAGGGAACTCCTGGATCAGGTATTGGGAAATATTTGTCCTCTCGAAAAAATTCTTTATAGAACTAACCAGTATTTGCGTTACATGGAGATGGAAAACACAAAAAGCACCTACGGTTAGCCTGATGGCAGTCTACCACTGAGGCTATTTTAAGTCGTAATCGATGCGAGCCGGGTGCGGAATTTGAAACGATCAATCATCGTTGGGATTCTAACTCGGTGCACCTTATTGGGAGTCGAATGCACTATCCCCTGATCCAGCAAGACTCTAAAATAGTGCTCGTTAGAAGTGAGTTTCGAACCCACACCCACATTCGTGGACCAAAAATTGGCGTTGTAATATTTCTCTATTGTTATATATTTACTCTGTTGTTAAGCATTATATATCATGCTTCACAGGAGACGTTAATATTACAGAGCCGTTTGCTAAGAAATTAGTACGAGCCAGTTTATTCTAAAGAGTTTTTTAAGGCATTCATTCTACACAGAATAATTTTTATTTAATTTCGTTGCATAATTTATTTTTTTATTTATATTAATTATTAATTTCATTTATTTATTCATTTCATTTATTTATTCGTTTCATTTATTTATTCATTTCATTTATTTATTCATTTCATTTATTGTTTGTTTGCTTATTATTGTTTAAGAAATT